TGTTGCTATGAAGTTGTACTTTTGCTATAATTTTGTTCTTTTTTTCCACATAAAACATAGCTTTTTGTCTCTTGCTTCTTTTTTTCTTTTTAAACAAGACTGGCACTGGAAGAAAACCGGTCAACGATAAAATAACCCATTTTTTTTTTTTTTTTTCTCTTCCAAATGCATTATTTTCTGATTAGGTGTGCGTAAATAGTAATGATTTACAAAATGGATGAACAAGTGGAAATTAATAACGAAAAATGGGTAAATATAAATTAGAAGAAGAGGGACCAAAGAGAGGCCGTCATTTCAAAGTTTTTCCATGAATACTTGACTATTTATCCCTCTTTATATATTATGTTACGTGTTGAGTTTAGGTGGCAGATTCTCACGCTTCGGATGATAACATGGCGAAAATCTATGCTTTATGATGTTGTTTTTATATTATTTTTGCTCTGGAGTTATGTTTGGTATTAGACATAAATAACTTTACACATATATTCATTTACTCGACACCTATGTTCTATATGGATATTAATACTAGTTCCTATTTAAAGTGGAAACAAAAAGATGACACGATCTGAACATTTATCTAATATATATATATATATATATATACATATAAGTTGATTATTTTTTAAATAATATTATTTCTTTAAAAAAAATCTATTTATTATTTCAGAAAATTAATTTAACAATTTATGGTATATTTCAAATAATCGCTTATGGAAATTGCGGCTCACTATTTAAGGAAATAACTAAGCCATATAAATTTTTATTTTTAAGATACTTTAATTACTTAAATTAATTTAACAATATTGGTATATTTCACATAATCACTTATGGTAAATTTAATTTTAAAATACCTTAATTACTCAAATCATGTGAATTGACTGTTTTACCCAAATATTAGAATTTTGGCTGCAATATCAATTATGTGATCTGGTAAATTTTTTTCAACTAAATTGTATAATTTATTATTTAGTAGATTGTTCAATACGTAAATAATTACTACAATTATGAAAATATCTACAACATTGATAGGTCGAAAAATGTGCGCGTTTTATATATCTAACAATATATTTTTATACACTTAATTTATTCGCACGTTTATATTTTTCGACTTATTTATTTGTTGGATGGATTCATATACATTGATATTTTTATGTTTATTTTTAGAATATTGGAGTGTTATTATGGACGACACAACATTGGACGAAAGTTTACGTGATTAATTATAGGGCCTTCCCAATACTCGTCAATTTAGCTCCAAATGCAGCATACATTTTGGAATGGGCTTATATAGCAAATAATTCATGGTTTGGTAGAGTGGGTCCCAAAATTAATACTTAATATGGATGTTTGGAGAATTATTTGGAGAGGGCTTAATTGAGAAAAGAAATGCAGCAGCAAAATCACGTAGGGGTTGGACATTTTGACTTGGAGATGATTTTATTTTGCTCGACTCTACTTTACCATGGGTTAATTAATCGGGCGAGAATTAAAAAGAAAGCCGAGGAGAGCCGTGAAAAGAAACATAGAGAAAATAGAATACGCGGACAGAGAGAACAACTGCGAGAAGAAGAGCGGTCGGCCGACGCGGAGGGAAGCCGCACGCACACGAGGGAGAAATTATTATCGCTTTTTTATCTATCTTTTATTTTTAGTATGTTAGGCTAGTACTTTTAATCGGTTTAAGGGGATATTTGAACCCTAACTTTAATTTGTCTATGGATTGAAGGATTTAGTTTTATCGTTGGCTAATTGAGAAGCCGTATTTATTTTTGTTGGTGAGTTGATTCACGTTATCTGTATTTAGTGTTTATGAACTATGATGTTTGATTTGGTTTGGCCAGCTATGTTGAATGTCCATAGTTTAATTGCTAGATTCGAGACTTTAATCTGTAATTGTTATTGTCTCGTTTCGTTAGTAGTAAACTAGGGGTCGTGCATCTCTAGGGTCTAGTGAATTAAATCCAAAGAACTTATTCTAGGTTGTCCACTATTTAGGTTTAGTCGAAGAACTTATTTTGATTAAATATTCGGTAAGGGAAAATTCAGTTAACATAGCTTGTTGTTAGTTAGGGTCGGTAATTCATCAACAACTTAAAGTAAGCGTCGAAATTAATTATCGGTAGATTTAGATTGAATGATAACTGAACCGAAAACTGGACTTCTCTTATTATATTTGATTTTATTTGATTTTATTATTTTTATTTTTTATCAATTCAATCCCCCTTTTACTGCTTTCTTAGTTTTAGTCCGATTAATACGAAAATTGTCACGACTTAATTCCTACTCCTCGTGGATCGATCCTTACTCGCCGCTACTACTAGTTAGTAGAGATTAGTTGAGAAAACTTTATAAATTTTAAATTTTCCGTGTCTCCAAGCGCGGTCAATAATTAATTATGCAGTTTGCATAAAACTGTGTTACAAAAATTGTGTTAAGAAAATTTTTATTTAAATATTATTTAATAAATGTTATTCATTTTTGTGTATTTAGTTGCTCAAATCATGGATAATTAAAGAAATAATTAGATAATAAAAATCTACATTTTTTAAATACCCTAATTACGCAAATCGTGTAAATTTGATTGATTTATTCAATTATAATTCCTTATAAAACTTATATTCTCATAATTGTGTTAATGACAGTTTCTATTTAATTATTTTTTAATAACTATTTTTTAGGTCTTCTTTTATTTTATATATATTAAACGTGAGTCTTGATTTTGTTTTGTACGTTGAGCAATTAATTTTGCGATTAAATTATCATTTTCTTAAATTTTATCGAGAAAATATGAAATTGAATTATTTGGTATATTATATATTGATCCAATATACACGCTTATAGTATAAATTATATCTCAATATTTGTTTTTCATATTGCTAAGCATTTTACTCGATATTAATGAAAGAAAATTTAGATAATACTATGATCGATTCTTTTTGTAAATGTGCGTGGAACATATCAAATTATTTGGTATGTGTGTGTGTGTTTGTGTGTTGTATATATAAAGGTTTGTCTTTACTTAAATCACATTGTAGTCAAATATAATTTTTGAATAAAAATTTTAAAATGACATATTTTTTTAAATGAATATAATATAATTTATTATCAGTTACTTTCCCCGTGCGGA